AGCAAAAGCCAACATAACCCTATAAACAGGGCTATATTGCCATAATTAGCTTAAGAGTTCTATCTCAAATGAAAGAAACTCAATTGTAATCCTGATTTGTGCTCTCTCTTGTACATAAACACAGGCCCAAATCTCTCTTCTTAGTCTTCTGATTTCATGAGAGTTGATCCAAATTGCTGTTTTTCGGAGCTGTTGCTGATATTTCTAAACTCATCTTCCACCTTTCCACACCTCTACTGCTCCTTCCTCTCCTTCTCCCGCTCCCCACAACACCCATTAATTCAACAACTCCACTGAAAATTATGTATTTAAGGGACATTTGTGATGGTAGGTGAGGAATAAGACAAGCTGTCAAAATTAGGTGTTTGGGGGTTGAAATAACTGTCTATGATTCTGAGCTGCTATAAAATTGCACATTTTCTAAAATATACCTTAATGTGTAAAATGAACACAAAATTCACTTTTAAGTCACACTCTAATCCAACTTAGCACAGAAATCATCATACACAATTCAAAGGGAAAGGAACACTTAATGGGTCTTTTCTTTAAAAAAAAAAAAAAAGTAAGTTCTCCATAGGAATATTTTTATTTACTTGAAAAATACAAAACCCACGTAGAATAAGCCAGAAGAAAATGAGAGCAGTTGGCTATCTGAAACTACAGAAATGAGAACATGGGCTTTCAAATGCTTCTGTAAGGTCAATAAATAATTGATTGTTTCAGTTATAGCTTAATTCAAAAACATTTCTTGAAAACTCTTTTCCAACATGAGGTATGTATATGAGACACATATATATGTAATATATATATTTATTTTTATTTATTTCTATGACTTAGAAATATAGACGTGCCCATTAATTTGGCAAATGCCTGTAAATACTGTATTACACAATTATCAGGATGTCCTTAGAAGCATAAATGCTATTCAGCACAAACCTATTCTGCCTATTTAATTTGCTCACATAAATAGTACTGCATAATGAGAAGTCACTGCTAATTAAAATTAGGTGTGATCTTTAATGTAAGAAAAAACATGTTTTAAGAAATATGCCCCAGACTTATTTTAAATATAATGTAAATGAAGATTTCCTAACAACTAGGCTACTTCAATCACCTGCAGGCCAGAGAGGATAAGCCTTATATAACCAACCAATTAATACAGATGCTCTTTCACATTCGGCACTCATGCTAAAATAAACCCTTTTGACCCAATCTCTCCTTCACTAAAATCTCAAAAGGCCTCTAAAGTGATCTCTACCCACATATGAATTTCACTTTTAATACAATTTGCGTTTAACCTACATTTATGCAAGGTATGTTTCAAAATAAGTCTTTTGTAAAGTTTATATACATTTAATAATACAGTGAAAGTGGTCAGACTAAAATATCTGTAACACCAATGGGCAAAACCAAAACAGCATTATGATACAAGACAATTGCGATAGCCAAAGAAACATCACCAGAAGTAATTTCAAGAAAATCTGACCACATGCTAGTCACATTTCTGTATCAGAGTCATTCCACACTAAATTGACATACCTGATTACACAGTGTGCGTTATGTTTTTGGGTTTTTTTTAACCTTTTACTAATAACATAGCCATAACAAAGTACAGGGTTAAAAAAAAAAAGATTCTTATCATAAAGCTGAAAATAGCCAAAAGCAAATCTTTAACATTCAGAAATCATTTTATTTGAGTGAATATCAGAAATGTTAAGTTTTAAAAGACACTGAAACACTGCCAGAACCTCTGGAAGGAGAGGAAAAAGAAAAGGTAGAGGAAGTAAAGAAAGTATTCATTAAAAAGAGGGTAAATCAAATTCAAACAAAATCTCTTCCTTATCGCTCCTCTCTTTCTGAGAAAACATTCACCATGACGTTAACAAGAAAAATGAGAAAAGGGCAGAATTTGCTTCACTCATCCTGTGTTTGTACAGGTCTTCAATTTCATTATATTAACAAAATTAGACACGGATACAGTTAATATCCATATAAATTAAAGTGAAGTTAAAATCCATATTAATTTTTGTAGCTTCATTAGGTGCCAATCATCAGAGCCCCAAACTCCACCTAAAACTGAGTTTACACATTCATCTTGCGTCATTCTCGCTCTCCAATAATCTTACCCTTTAGAAAAGGGTCAACTTTTTAACACTAAAGGTTCAATATAATCCCAAGAAAGGCTCTAATTCCACCTGAAACTATTTACGTCTTTGCCTCTTATTAGCAGCTGCACCATTAATGCTGAAGGGAAACAATATTGAAAATCAAATTATGCAGAAATGTGCCTTCTTCAGGGTTACAAGTTTATGCTAAATTTTGTGAATTTCAATATTTAAAAAGCATATTAAGTTAGAATGGCTAGTTTGTTTTACTTAAAGAATGTATTGAGCATCAAGTAAGGTTTCTCATTTTACTATTAATGAACTTAAACCTTAAAAAGAAAAACTTTACTATGCTCAATCATGACATTCCTGATTTTACAATTTAAGCTGATAACTGCATGCTGTGCTATGTTGACACATCAGAAAGAACTTGTTTTGCCCTCCAAACAGAGTGTAAATTTTTTTTAAGCCTTCTGAGAAAAAGCAATTTAGGTGTCATCTTAAAAAGTCAAACTATGATTTATGCTTTTTTTAATTTAAAAGGAATGCAAGTTATTGGTGGCATTTAATATTTTTATATCAAAATTCAGAAAGTCAGTATTCAATACAGCTGTGTTCTAAACTTGATGATTGATCTGCTAATCACTCAGGGCCACTGGTCACAGCTAATGTTTGGCTAGAACCATAGTAACATATAGAGAAGAGACAGCCACCACTTTTAGTTATATCAGGGCTGTTGTTTGCAAACAATAGACTAATTCAGTGGTGGCTAGAAAAGAAACATTGTTTCAATTTATTTGGAAGAGGCTTTGTTCTGGGTAATCATAGTTCCCAATATCAAGTTAATGCCAAAAGGTATAAAAAATTCAAACATTACCAAATGATCCTATATAAGATAGCACACCTTTTCATCAGAACTCCAAGTCACACATCAGCATAGAAATAACTATTTTGTTGGATATTAAACAATCTTGAAAGAGCCACATCATCAATGTTTTGCCTACTGTCATAAGGCTGCTATGAGGCTCAAATTAAAAATACGTGAAGACACATTATGTCATAAATTACAACAAAAGGTATTAAAATTACCTTTAATGATCTATGGGTAACAATGGTCACCTAAGACTTAGACTCCAGATTCCAGATTTTATGGGGCTTAATGAAAGTTCATTGTAAATAGAAAACAAGTCTTGTTCTATGCCTTTTTTATACTAAGGAAAATGAAAACAATACCATGGTGATTATCAGAACAAAATTCAGTAATAATCCCCCCGAGTTTCCTAAAATACATTACTTTTCTTTGTACAATTACAAGTTTTATATAAGCCAATGTAATCATTTCCTACAAATAGCTTAGTCAAATCAACCATGTTCAGTAGTGAATTCCAAGGACAAAAATTGGAGATTGAAAAGTTTAAAACACAGAATGACTTCTGACATTTAAACACAACAGTTTATGCAATAAGAAACATCTCAAATCTCCTTGCTGAAAATATTTTAAACCTTCAGCTCAGAATGACAGCAATAAAAAAACTGAAGTACAATTATTCTAAATAAAGATAATTATTACTTAAATAATAGATTAGGTCTTTTACATTAAGACACACAAGAACCAAAGCTTTTTTTTTTTTCTTTTGATGAGAAACCACTAACCCTTTTTTAAAGGAACAGTACACAGCCTAAATCTAAGTCTAAAATTTTTCCACAACAAGAAAAGCTTCCTATTTAAAGAGGAAAGAAGAGACACCTCAGAGTGTTAGGATATCCCTTTAACAGAAAAAAGGATTTCAAAGAGTTTTAAATAAAAACTTTCAATAGCTAGTTAATGGTAACAATGACTATCACTAACATTTAAGAAAAAACTTGAAATGCTATGTACAAATGAATCAGTGTCTACTATGCCTTTCAAACACACCCCACTGATTAATCAACCTTGTGCCTCTGCAACACCATTTTTATATTTTTCTTCACACCTAAAATGTGATATACAGCCCAGTGCTTATTTGAATTGGGGGTGGGGGTAAGGGTAGAGACCTTAACTCCTGCCAACAGATACATCAAAATTCAAAACTTTTTTTCTGGTAATTCCGTTTTTTTACAGACCTTTTTGAAGTCAAACAGTAATGTCAGTATACTTATAAATGACTGAGAAAAAAAGCAGCCAGACAAAGATACCAAACCATAGCTGAGAACTGAAGCTTCACAGTGTCGGCCATCAGTTAGCTATTTGAGAACTTGTGGGAACATTTGAAAGTAAAATTTTCTTTTGCACCATGTTGCCACCAATTCTTCCTTAAAGAGATTAATCAGCAGACACGACAGGACAACTTTAGGACAGGAACCCTGTGGGCAAGTGCCAGGTCTAATACTGTGTCAGTGTACTGTTCACGGCGTTGCTTTAGGTTATTGTCAGTACTTGTAATTTTTAACCCTTTAATCTCCTCAATCTAACACTTCACAAATGTATAAACACAGCAGCATGACTTCTGATTATGTAAAGCATGAAGGGTACTTTTCTTGATCATGTAAGGGCATATGCTAAAATAACTTAAATGAATATGCACAATAAATATATTATCAGACATTGGACCCCCTTGAAATTACACGATTTTTACTTAAAATACCTGTTGATGAGCAATATGATTTTACATCTTTTAATAAAATTTTCAACCACAGGCCAATGGGATACCAAATACCATTATTTCACAAAGAAATCTGAAATGGTTATGTACATATAATTCACTTAGGTTGTCTACAATGCCTATTTTCTAAAGACCACTTAAACTTATGCACATGAAGAAACACATCAATCGCTAGAGATCACATACACATGAGTGAATATTTAAATCTATCAATCTGCCTTAAACGTAAGAAATATGAAAACATTAATCTTACCTTGAATAGCCATTAGAAAAAACCGATCGGCCAGAGAAGTTCAAAGTCCCCAAGGAAGCCAAGTTGTCATCTCCAGATCCTTGGCACCTACTCCAATTTTCTGAACCAACAGGGATTGGTGGAATGACATTAAAAACAGGCTTCTGATCCTGTTGTTGAGAAAGGGATGCTGTATTCATGTCATAGTGGTACATCTGTCCCCCAGAGGTGCTCACGCCGTGAACAGAAATGGCAGAAATTTTATTACCAATTATATTTGCCCCAGAAAAGCTTGCCTGACAGTAAACTGGGCCCAGTTTCTCCTGCTTAATTACTCCAGGGGTGCAGAGTTCAATGAAATCTTCTTTTTCTGTTTTCACTTGGGGCAGTGTCACGCTGCTGGGGCTTGATAAGATCAGATCTCCATTATCCTTAATTTTAGGTTTAGTGTCCGGTAAAACAAGAGGCTTACAGTCTTCATTCGAGTTTCCTTCCAAAAGGAATGGGTCATCCTCTCCTGCCAAAGGAGAAAGCAAACAGTTTTCATCCATCAAGAGGTCTGATCTCCAAGGACTCTCATTTGTCTCTTTACCTGGGGACCCAGAAGAAAACTCCAAATCCTGCAAAATGTCAAAGGTTCTTTGGTCTGTGGTGTACAGCTTCACACTGCCCCCATTGGTGCCAGTGTGGCTCTTCAAATTTTGCTGTTCTGAAGACACATCAGAGTGGGATTTTGGAAACTCCTTCTCTGGGGGGGCAGCAGAAACGGCAGCGGATGCTGAACTCTTGGGGTTCTCTGGAACACTGGTCGACTTACTGAGGTTTGCGATGCTTTCTTCCAGAAGCCGAAAGTCTGTTTCCCCAGAGGAAAGGCTGATTTGGCCCTGCTGTGGGAATCCCAGGTCATTTCCCATCACTTTTGTTTCTGTCTCCCCCATATACAGTCCCATTGAGAGTGAAACTGCCTTGGACAAATCTGGCTGCTGCGCATTGCTTCCTGAGCCTTTTGGAAAATCAACCAAAAGTCGTTGCTGCTTGGAGTCTGACTGAGAAGCAGCAGCCAGTGAGGATGAAGATGCAGAAACTTTCACAGTAGCTCCACCCCTTAGGGTTTTACAGAAGTCCATCACATTTCTCCTTTCCCGACCAAGCACACTGCTGGGGATTTCTTCTCTACTTGGGGGGCTTAATGATTCCTGAGAGTCCATCAGTGATTATCAGCTACCAAAAAAAGAGAGAGGGAAAACATAATAAGCTATAAAGTCACATTATCTCTGTGATCCAATTAGTACCTAAGAAAGAGCCTGTTAAATGAACCTTTTAGTTAACTCCGATTCTAATTCCTTGTTATCAGAAGAGTAGTTTCTGTCTTCCAGAATAAAAAAGCCATGTACCCCGCTCCTATTCAGTGGGCCACATTTAAAAGTACAATGCGGTCCATTTGCACGGCTCAGGACAAAATTGCATCAAACTAAGCTAGATTAATTCATCCTGCCACTCACAGAACTATAACTTCGTTAATCATAGACATTATAATTCATTACATCTGATTATTCTAAAGGTTCAAGATGATGTCAAAGTATTTAATTTTTTTAAAGTATGATCATTAAAATTCCTATCTTTTCAATCAAGGCAGTTTGCTTTTCTGAGAATCAATACACATAAAATTTGACAAATACTATGCTAGAATTCTCTAATTATTCTCAAATTCCCCTCCTACCAGCTAGGCACACATCCAAACCTTTTAGTACAACCTACTGGCGAACCCTGGACATCTTATTTGAAAAATAAATACTGATGATCTGCTCATCTTCCCATAGGGTAGGAAAAGGCTCTTATTTTTAACCAGTATTTCTTATTGAATGTACCTGTTGAATAAAGCCTGCTTTAAAATTTTGGACCTACAATATAAAACAGGCCAACTAAAATTTAGATTTTAAAAAGAATAGCATGTGCAGTAGCTTTTCACTACAATTTTTGCTTATTTAAATGTAACAAATGCAGTCCCTCTCAACCCTTACAATATATAGATGAAGATACATTTATTTTTTAAAACTGCTTAAGACCCTCAGTATGAAAAATTACTGTTCTCTAAATTAAGATTTTCCCCTTCCAAATATCGAAGTACTGAAAAACAGAAAAACCCAGAACTGGAAAATCACTTTCATATCTATCCAGGTTTTTAAAAATCCAATAAAATGCTCAGATAAACCTTCACCTATCCCAATTCTGAGCCTATTCTCAAGAGGATGAAGTTGCTAGTATATTGTTAATAATCAGAATGTTTTATGAGACGGTATATACACATTTGCGACATTATAGTCAAATCCCACCCAATGGAAAGAAACTTTTCCTGTACGGAGACTTGAAGAAACATAAACTTCACTGGCCCTCACTGAGAATGATATGTGATGAAGGCAGAGAGACGAGACGGGTGAGGATCTGCCACACAAATCTTGAGGGTAAACTGCTTATCTCCCCGTCCCTCCGCCCCATTTATCTGATAACGATCTCGATCTCTAAACACAAATGGAACCTAATGAATTTCCACGCAGCTTTGACAGCTGCCTTCAAACTCGAAACCAAAACAACACCTCATAAAACGAAACGATCCCTCCAACGATTTTATCCCCCAGTCTAAACTGCGAACAACCCTGGCACATTAATCGGCTTCAATGAACCATGCCAGGGGGTCTTAAATGGTATTACAAGGCTGCCATTATCCAGTCTGCAATCCCAAACGTCAAACTCGCGCTTGTCAAAAATCTCACCAGAAAACGATTACAGTGAAGGGAGGGTCTTTTTCGAAAAGGGGCCACTTAGAAACGTCAGACTCGAAATGCTGCCAAGCGCCAAAGAACAAACCCTCTGTGGGGGCGGGGGGTGTGGGGGGAAGGTTAAGTGCGAGGTTAAAAGAGAAATGTGTACAGACCTGTTGAGTTCTCCCTCCGACACGCCCACTCCTACCCGATAACACCAGACCTGACCGAAGTCTCCAAGTTGCAGGCTGTCAGCCCCCCGAGTGTGCGCTCACGCGCGCGCGCACACACACACGGACACGGACACGCACACTCACACCCTGCGCGCCTGCCAGAATTAAGACGAGCTGGAGCCTCGACTGAAACCCTGATCGCGCTCGGGCGCACCAGGGTGGAGTGGAAATATTTGGGCGAGTAGAATTCGGAAGCGGCTCAACGTTCACCATTAAAATGGGTGTCTGGGCGGCCCCCTGCGAGGGAAAACGAAGGGAACTTGAAAGAAAAAAAAAAAAGGCCAGGATTCCGCGCCAAGGAACGAGAGGCTGGAAACCCGGGGCAGCTCAACGGGGCTCCACTCACAGAGTCACAGCTTAGGTTCCTCCCCCTCGGCCTGGCCGGGGGAAGGCAGCCGACGGAGAGGAAGAGGCCAGCGCTGTCACCCGCGCAATGCCCTTTCGTCACCGTCACCCGGCCCTCACCAGCCCCCACCCCCATTGCCGGAGGCTAATAAAAGTTTACCGGCTCCCGCGGCGGCTGTCCGAGCCGCACCTCGGGGGGTCCAGCGGCTGCGCCGGTCCCGGCCCCCAGCTTCTTACCTCTGGGAGAGGTGCCGTTCACCCGCCACCGTCCGCAGTTCCCACCGCAGCCGAGATAAACAACTTGGCATGTGAAAGCAGGAGGAGCAGGAGATAGATTTTTTTCAAAAAAAAAGGAAGTAAACAGCTGCCCCCTTCTCCATGGGGGGAAGGGAGAGCCCCTATTTAAGAAAGTCTCCCATTTCCCGGCTGACAAGCCAGTCCCCCGCTCCGCGCCCTCTCTGCGGGCCGGGCTCGGGGCGCGCGTCCTCCGTCCCGGCGCTTCGCCGCTTCGGCCGCTCCAGCTGCTGCGTCTCCTTCCACCCACTAGAATCCGTCCCCGACGGACGGGCGGCGACTCGGGCTCCCGTCACAGACTCGAGCTCGCAAAATGGAGGAGGAGGAGGAGGAGGAGGAGGAGGAGGAAGAGGAGGAGGAGGGGAGGGAGCGCGGACACGCGAAAGGGCCGCCCGGCCGCGACTAGCGAGCGGGACCGAGCTGGGGTGGGGAGGGGGGCGGGCGGAGGCGGCGCCACGGCGCGCACACTCTCGCACACACGCGCTCCCACTCCACCCCCGTCCGCTCCCCGCCCGAGGGGCCGCGCGGCGGCGGCAGGGAACGGTGCAACCTGTTGGCGACGCTCGGCAACTGCACGGGAGGCCGCAGCCCCTGCCCCCACGCCCTCCGCGCGAGCCCAGCCACCCTAGCCCCGACGGTGCCTGCACGCCCGCGGCCCGGGCATGGTCCCCGCCCCGGCAGCCCGCTGCCGCGCACCGGGCTTCTCCTCGCCCACCCATCCCCACCCCCAGGAAAAAGGAGAGGTGGCGGCGGCGGGAGCCAACCTGGTCTCTACCGGGTGAGATTAAGAGGGAAGCCGAGTTTCTCTAGTTTCTCTTGTGCTGCCTCCTTCCCGCCCCCGCCCAGCTCCGCGACTCCCAACCCACTCGGGAGCTCGCCCTGTCCCTCGGCGGCAATCCCCGCCAGCACTCGTGCGGGGGACATGGGACTGCCTAGGGGAACCGGGGCCCGGCCCGCAGCAGAGCAGCGGCGGTGGTCCGCGCCGCCGCCCCCGGGCCGAGGTGCGCGAAGTGTGTCACTTCGCGAGGGGCTACGGGGTTGCACGGAAACAGTGCAGCAGCGTCTCGGCCGCTCTCTGGGCTGGCCGGCCAGACACGCCCTCTGGGGACGCTTCAGGGAGAGCAGGGCAGAGGAGGGGTCGGCGCATACGTACTCTGAGCCGGGGGGCAGTCGCGTGCCGGCAGGTCCCCCACCCCCGCATCGTCTGGGCGGCCCCGTCTGCAGCCGCCGCCGCCGCGCTCTCGCACCGGGAGAGAAGTTGCAAAGCAGAACCCACCCTCCCCCGCGCCCCAGCGGTCCCCCACCCTCTTCCCCAAGTCTGCGAGGCGGCGGCGGCGGCGGCGGCGGCAGAAGGAGGCGCCGCCTGCCAAGTTCAACCCCCATCCCTCCCTCCCTCCCAGCGCGCTCACACTTGAAGGAAGTTGCACGCCAAATGCAAAACCTCCGGCGAGCTGGCTTTCTTTGCACTTTTTAAGCATTATTTTTAAGGAAAGCAGGGGGTGGCAGGCCTAAAAGCAAGTTGCAGGCGAAATGGTTAAGTTGCTTGCAAAGTGCGGTCCCCCCGCCCCCCAAAGACTCCTGACCTCTCCTGCCACCCCCCTCCAGGGCCCGTGTCCAAGTGTCCCATGAAAGACCCACCCCGAATCTTGACTTTCGCTGCTCTCCACTCAATGCGTCACCCGCCCGTTTTTATTCACGGGACCCCAACCCCTCCAATTAAAACAAAATACACGCAGCCTCAAGATGTCAGCATTAAACTCCCTCCAGCTGTTCCCGTTACGCGCCTCCCCCTCAGTCCGAGGGAAACACGTGGCCAATCCCCAAGGAGAGGGGCGTGGGGCACAGGGTGCCCGCACGGGAGGTCCCCGACCAGCCCCCTGCCCCAGCTAGTCGCGTCAGGAGTGTTTGGGCGACGCCGGGACCCAGCCTCCTACCTTGTGCGGCACACATGATTTTTGTGACTTGGGGAAAGGTGGTGCTGTGTTGCTTTAGGGTTTCGGAAGGTAACTTTTGCGCCCCCACAGGTGACAGCGCTTGCCAGCTCCTGACGGGGGCGGAGGCTGCCGCAGCTCCACCTAGTCCCTGCTCGGGCGCTCAGCCGCAGCCACTCTTCCTCAGGCCGCGCTCTAACTCCGGCGGCGGCCGCCTCTGCTCTGACATCTTAAAGAGGATTGGGGAAGCGCGTGCCGGAAGCCGCCCTCCGCCATCTTGGTAAAGGACGCTGACGCCGGCCCGGCCGCGCGGCCACCATCTTGGCAAAGGTTCTCGTTCGTGGCAACGGAAGTGTGCTTTTCCTCGGTTCTGAGGGTAGCCGCTGCCCTATATGTTGTCCGATGGTGAAAGGAGCGAACGAGGCTTTTAGCAAGCGGCCTGTCCGGAGACAATCTACACGGGCCGCCTGCAGACGGACCTTAGGGCCGCCATATTGGCAAAGGAAGAGACGCCCGCTGCCACAGAAAAGGGAACCAAAACCTTTGCCAACGGAGAACCCACCGCCTGTAGAATTTTCATGAAGGGCGCTGAGCAGCAACTCAGTTATTAACAGAACCCCCTTCTGAATCCAGAAGGGATGACTCCTCTTGACCCTGCACTTGGCGCAAGTTAGCTATAGGGAGGCCCTTGCCTTGGGTGCTCCTGGAGGATAAAAAAGGAGAATTTACTCTGAGAACGCTACTTGCCGATGTGCCCGTTTTCCCACCTTCCGAGTCTCAAGTAGTAGAATCAGATGTCTTCTGTGGATTGGGTCCCCAAGCCACCAACAACATTATGGGGGGGGAAAACAAAATCAAGACCCAAACTTAGAGTAATGTTATGCATGTTTTAAAATTGAGTTAAGTAACTCATGATAACACGATTATCCTGGTAAACCTGCTTTAAAATTATATTAGGGGTTATTTATATGTAAATACTTCATGTAAATATATATTATATATAATAATTTGTATATACATTTGAAAAAGGGATTATTAGTTACCTAATAGAATACTTCTCCCTATACCATAAACCTACTTTATAATTGAATCTCTGCTCTAAGAAAAGAATTCGCTTCATCTTTTTTACCTGATCAAATTCCAGGTGGTGGGTACTCTGCTTTTAAATAATGTCCAATTTTACTAGAGTTCCTAATTAACATTTTCCCCACTCGTTTTTTTTTTTTTCCCTTGCAGGTCCAGCAGACCACCTTAAAAATAGAAGAAAGCTCACATCATTTTAATTAAAAAGTGGCTGTTGAGAACACTTTCAATTGAGCAAAAGTGTGACATTTTCCTAATTTTTCTTTTCAATGGTCTAAACGTGCCTGTTAATTTTGAATTTGATAGAAAAAAAAATCTTATTCTTCAGTCTTTTGTTTTTGTTTAAAAACATGCATAAACTGTAGATTATTAAGCTAGTGTCCATTTTTCAGAGTTAAGTTGTTATGCTTTATAGTTAACATTTATTGGCTCCCCGTTCCCCCCTAACTCTGCGACCCACTTTTGCTGACAATAGCTGAATAGATGGGCATTAATCTAATTTTTCAACATGAGGAAACTGAAGCTTAACAGAGATTGATGCTTATCCAAGGTCACACAGCTCCTAAGTGTGGAGGATAGAATTAGACAATATTAAAGAGGTTTTCCTTCACTGATCTCATAATTCCCATGAAAGAGTATGTAAATCCCATGATAGGCTTGCAATAAGTGTGTGTGGAATTTCGTTCAAAAAATGAAATCCAGTGTAACAGAAAGGGCATGAAATTAAACATTATAATAATAGCATTTCTAGTAGTTAAAATTTACTGAGCTTCTGTCTGCTGGGCACTATTGAAAGTATTTTATATACACTCAAGATCTTAGGTCTTTAGCTGTGACAATTACCTAGCTGTAACCTGGGAAGTTATAATTACGAGAGAAGAAATAGGACGAATCCCCATCTGATGGAGAATATAATTGATTGCCTCAGAAGTAGAAATGGGAATGAAGGTGACCCATCCAAACTCCTGATCTGTCTCATTCATTGTTGTATGTCCCGCTCCTAGAGTAGAGCCCAGTGCATAGTGGGCCCTCAGCAAATATTTTCCAGAGTTATAATAAGACATTGAGTCAACGAGACATCATATCACTTGTACTGGGTTGTGTGGAGGCCAACTGAGTTAATGAAAAGTGTACAAGTATTACCAAAGATCCTCATTCTTATTGTCTTGTGTTTAAACACTTGAGTGCTCCCCTTCTACAAAACAAAACAAAAACAAAGACCCATTATTATGTGTTCTCATAGTGCCCTGTACTTTGATAGCACATTACAATGATAGTTCATTATTTATGGGCTCATTTATTAAATTTCTGTCTCCCCCACTAGAACATAAGCCCTGTGAAGTGAAGACAGGGCCTGTGTTTCTTTTTCACCACTCTACCACTAGTGCATATTAAGTGCTCAGTGGATATTTGTTGAATGAATGAATGAATGGATAGAAAGGGTCTGAGGCTATATCCTAAGGCTAATAAAACCTTAAATATTAACCAAACCACCTTTTACATTTATACAGCAATTGATATGTTATCCAAGTGAGTTCTCCCATTCTGTTCATCTGTTTTATTATATCCATTCTCATTAAAATAATTCAAGCCTCAGTGCCAGATTATTCCTCCTAAACATCAATGAAACCATGCCATGCTCCTGCTCAAGCATCTACAATAACTCCCCATGCCCCTGTGTACACACCCCAACTCCCATTCTGGTTTTTAAGACCATCGTCTTTTATCTGCCCCTTTCTAGGACAGGCAAAGCCTTCTAGCTGATAGGATTGGAGTGGTATTTAATTAAAAGTCAGTTAAAGCAAGGAATCATAAAAAAATTATACTTGCAAAGTTCAAGCTTTAAAACATAAAATGTAGACTTGAAATTTGTTTGCTAATCCTTTGATGAAGGTCTAAAGTTTTTGTCAGACCACTGACTGGAATTTCACGTCTTAGCTCATGTATCAACTACACTCCCTTGCATCAGCACGCTGACTGGGTCGTCCCCACTGCCATGACGTTGGGCAACCTCACCATCTGTGCTTCAGTTTTCAACATCTGTAAAGTGGGGGTGATAATAGTACTAACTCAAGGGATAAAGATGAAACAAGTTCAATGTGTGTGAAGTGCTTAGACTTAATTCCTGGGACACAGAAAGTATTTAATCATCATTAGTAAATATTAATACTTAGTATCACTATTTCCCCCATTTTTAAAGAGTAGAGCAAGAAATTAAAAGTACTTACAAAATATTATGAATGAAGATTTCTAAATTTTTATGATTCATCCCCCAGCCCTCACCTCAATCTTTTAAAGTTGTCTTATATCCAGTAATTGTCTATAGGGCAGCTTTCCATTTAGATTTTATAGAACTTTTTTTTTTTTACTGATATTTCATTCTTTTACTTAACATTTAAGTAATTACAATAACAA